TTCGCTTGTGAGTAATGGTCAGTGGCGATGATATGCACTACTGACGAGCTCTAATGAGAGCGAAACTCGAGTCTAGTGCTTCTGCTGTTCGAAAGGGGCTGACTGGAAAGCCTATGGGAATGCGACAGCTGCGATCAATTGTGGGTGATGTTCAATCTATATGAAAATCAAAATCCCGTACTACTCATCAGTAATATAAGAATATGTCAAACTAATGAAAATTAGAAGGCTGCCTGGTCATAAAGATCCGATCTAGAAATCCAGCTTTTCGGTTTGGGTTCACTCTAACTCTTCACTGTTGAATGTAGCATGGAATGTTACAGTAAGTTATTCTCAACGTGTTAGTGCCGCAGGTTAGTATGACTGAATACAAATTTCCAAAGCAACTGTCAGCTCAGATACAAAATCCCACACTCGAATCCGTTATCAAGCAAGAGGGCGATTCGAACGAAACAGACAAGGGTAACATTACATATTTATGCATGAGCAGGTTTCACTGCATCTCTACTGGAGTTAACCGCAACTCAGTCAAAGGTATGATATTTCAAGCCATTAAACAATGACGAAAAGTTATAAGTTTGAATCCAGTTTGGTTTCTACGAAGACGGTGTCAACCTCACTAACAATTGCTTTGTACGGCGTCTGAATGCAATTACCCGTGTATACTGTAGCAAACGTTTCTCTCGAGTTGATAACAGACCGCTGTTTGTGACGATGACGCTACCTTGATAACAACCAAATTGGTTGTGAACTTTCACCTTCCCGTGTTTTTGGACTTCTGTACATTTCACTCGTCCGCAGTAAACGTCAAAGAGGTGTCAAGTCAATAATATACTTTATGGATGTTCACCTCTTATGAACCCGTTATATCCATTAACCGTGGCCAACTTGAATAGATGTTCTCGTACTTGTCTTTCAATTTCAAGTTGGCTAAAATGCCTGTTCGCGCGTTGGAACAATGTTTGCAAACAGCTTTTAGTATGATGTTCTGTTCGATTACTGTTTAGTCTAAGAATGACGTCTGTTGTTGTCGGTTAATGATAGACACTGGTTGAACGTTTACCTTGGAGTCTTCTTATAACGGACACAATGAATAACGCTAAGTGTGAATGCCTTATTTATTTTTTTTGTAATCCTTACTCCACCTAATATGACATTCGGGCGACTGTGAAACTAGTCAGTGAGTACGAGGTAAAACAACAAAGGAGTCATCCACCTATCGACGCTACACTTTGGTTTCGAATGTCTGAAAAGCTTCGGATTTTATGTGTTCCATTACAGAACCCACAAATGGTCTAGCAATGAATGTGCCAACTGCTGTTCTTTTACTGGTAGATTTAGCCGTTACGTTGCAAATGTTCCATCAATTGGATCAATTCTTCACAATGGCCTGCCATTGTGAAATTTCATCGTGCTCTTCTCTGTTTTCGGTTCTTGCTTTCAGACCAACTTGCACGCACTTTGTGGGCTTGTTGATAAGTGGCGTTTTACTTCTGATGTCATTTTTAGTACACATCTGTTATGGTGATGTATTGTGTATTCAAATGTGTTTCTGTACGTCTCCACGTAATACACCTTCAATCTAATTCTTCCCCTGCGTGTCCCAGTTGGTCGCTTCCTTCCCTAGAGTCAGAGCTAAGCCGCACGCAAGCTCACTTACAGAATTTGGCCAGTCAAGTACGAAACCTAATCGACACAGATGAAGTCGTAGCGTTTGGTCCATTTCTGTATGTGTACATACGAAAGGTGAGTCGCACTGTTCGTTTTGTATGGTACACCACTTATGCTTAAGTCCCCACACATCCACAAACTAGGGTTGACAAACTGTCGGAGCACGTTCATTACTATCGTCGACAATTTTCCGTCAGTAACTAATTCTGATACCATACACCTTCGTTAGAATTTCCTAGTTCAGGGGAGAGGTGTCAAATATTGAAAAATCTCATGTAAGCCCAAATGTTGAAAATCTAACTATCGTATCAACCAGACGGCTTTCGTTGTTCTTCTTGATTCTGCGATTTACACTACTAAAGGATCGCTCATTACCGATGAACGTTTCACTCTGTGGTCAGCACCTTTTCTGTAACGTCCGAAGTTTTTAAGTGAGGCTGATTCCATTCGTATTTTCTCTTTCCGTGTTTCATCTCGATTAATATGCCCGTACCTTTCAACCTCATTGGTCAGTTGACGAAACGCAGCCTTACACCACTTACTCTTATGGTTTTTGTCACGTCGAAGGTAACGAAACGACAAACAGACGCATTCTTGTGCGATCCAATCATATGCATTCCCCCTGAGCTTAGAGGTACTCGCCAATCCTACACACAACAACGTTAGTGGAGAATCGGTTGCATCGACTGCTTGTTTGAATCCCCAGTCATCTGTTACCGATAAACTTGCCCTTCAGTCACGTCCGTTTGTCGACTAAAAGTCACTACTCTGTGGGATATTCTTTCTTTTTGGGATTCCTCGTGATTATCGCAGCGAACCATGGCTCGAGCCGGCCCATGACTTTTGTGAATCACGTCTATGTTAAACTGGGCTTTATTCAGTAGCCCGTGGTACACTTGTTGGGTCGGGTAACAGCGTCGCTCCTCCGCCTCATGCCGATGTAATTCTCACTCAAACTGTGACTGAACTAATCTAGATGAGACCAATTTGCGAAAATCTAGGCTTCGGCTGGATTAGAACAAGCGACAGAAACAGCATGCAAAAATGCGACAAGCGCTCTACCAGCTGAGCTACAAAGCCACGCCGGGGGCTCAGCATTCGTCGATTGGCTCTGCTTTCACAGATTCCACTTCACATCTGATTTCAACTTCCGTGCAGTATTGATTTTGGCTATGATAAATGCGCATGTCACGGCAAAATATTTCTTTTCTGGAGTCCGAGCGTTGTCATGGTGTCGTGATGTGTTTGGTGGACTGGTTTTCTGGGAGGTCTGTGGTTGTACTCCACGAAATTTTGATAGCTGGTTGTTCCTCATGTTTCTTTTTGTGAGACTCGCCGTTCCCGAAGCTCTAGGAGATGATTAAATCGCTTCTGTTCAAAGTCTTCGGCAGTAAAAGATCAGCAGTTATCCCGAATCATCGACAGATTCACTTCTGGTTATTCTTTCACCAATCCTTCTTGGAACACGCGATTAACCGTACTGTTTTTGAGAGATTTGAAGACTCCAGTCTGTTCTGACACATCTGTTGGGTTACATAATCGGTAACTCGATGTGAGCTAATGTCACCTGTACATTCTGTTTGCAGCTTTGTTTATTTCTCACAGATATGTCATGACGAATTCGGTAAATGTAACTAGCTGTGTAGTTTCAGACAGTCACCTGTTGATCAAACTGTTCTTTACAACTCTTGACTATCAGTCGAACTGGACGTACTTCTCTGTCGCTGAGTTTTTCACCTGTGAACATTCTGTTGGCATGGTTTTACTCAACGTGCTACATGTGCCATTTGATTTGATCACTTGGCATGTTGGCTAACAAAGTTGTGAAGGCCCAGATAACATGTTTTCTTTCACCTCAGTGACGCGTAGTTGTCTGAATTCTGATCACTGTTTTTTTCGGACTGGGAATCTTCTGAGGTGGAGATTCAGATCAGTTAGGCCTGATAAATGTTTATCTCTGCAAGACAGCTTATAAACATGGTTGCCGTTTGTCTGGTAGTCTGTTCCACTACACCCTGGGCTAATCCGAACCGTATATGTCTGAGACGTAGGCCTGCACCGACAGTATAAATCGAGTGGCTCGTCCGGTCGTCAGCATCATCTCCGTTGTATTTGTTTAGTCTAGAAAAGCGTGGAGCGGTAAATATGGCGTGCTCAAACGCACGGCAGGCCTTCGAAGAGCTTTCGCTTTAGATTTCCATCTTTTTTCGTAGTCCTTATTCAATGACGCTTATGATACACTTGGGTGGTTTATCCGAGACTGGGGCACGTTTGATTGTAGTTTGGATATTTACGGACTCACTATCTTCACTGCTTGTTTTGGTCAAGGGCACTTCCTTCTAGCCAGTTCAGAATGTGATTTTTCTCCCTCGGTTTTCTGCTAACTCTTATTAACATAACAGGTTATTGATTGATTGGCAACTGAGTTGTTGTAGGTGGGAGAAAGATTTTTGCCTATGCGTTTTTCTTTGCTTCAATCGGGGAAAAGTTGCGTTGGACGACTTGTGGGTGTGATGAAAAAATGAATGAGGGTGAATAAAAGGAAACTTGTGTAGAACTACCTGAGTGCAATCAGCGAACGTTGTCACACTGGGATAACATCCTATCAGATCTGCAAATTTAGTGATCTGCAGAAGTGGATTGAAGAGGTGGATAGTGCAGGTTGTTTCTCATGTATGTTACGACTGAGTAGTTTGTTAAAACTCTCGACCGAGCTATTCGTCACCACAGGTTTTGGTAGTGCGTTCCGGTCGGAACAGAACTCAGTTGTGAAACCATCCTGTTTGCATGGTAACATGCTCACTCCATAATCCGATTTCAGTGAATGATCCCTTAGGCGTTCACCCATAACCTGCGGGACGGAATTTATCAGTCAGTGACATGTGATCTGGAGTACTTTGTAAATGCGAGCTTGGTCGCCTATAAAGTATTTGTAGTGTATTGAGAATTGACAACCGTGATAGCTCCTTCTGGATAGAAGCATTTTCCAAGCCTCATGACTCTCCCAGTCGTTCGCCTCTGAATACTTTCAATAAGCGTGAATTTTTTTCAAGATAACATCTACAGATTTATGTACTGGTCTCCAGGTATTGATGGATTATAAGGCTGAACATTGTGGAAAAGATTTCAGGCTGAAAGATTCCGCGAATTCCTCAGAAGAGGTGTAATACCATTTGCGCTTTTTTTTAACGGTGACTACACTACATGTAGACAGACTTAAATTATCTGTCATCAAGGTTATTGAGTCTCGTTCGCACATAGGTACAGGTAGTCTACATGTAGTCTAATGTCACTATGGTGACATAGCACAATTTTACTGGCGAGTGTGAATGGGTTTACATTTGTGGTAAATAGTAGAGGATTTTGGTTGAACATCGGTTATTAACCAGGCTGAGTATGGCGAAGGAGCTACGTCTTTATCACCTCGAAATTCGCCCTATGATTGACCACATTTATTCAGCTCCACAAAATTAACTGAATTCTTTTGTTCCTTGATCAATGTGGCCAGATGGAGCTACAAGTTTTACGGTACCGATGTCAGCTTCGGGTGTAATACGAACAGGGTAAGATGGCTTTTTACCCATTTGTCTTTTAGTGTGATCCTGACCCTGGCGAAATAGCCCGCCTTCCATTACTACCTCAAAGTATTTCCCGACGGAGGGAGATGTTGCAGCATTAACTAAATGTTTCATGAACTTTAGCTCTGGATAACCAAAATTTCCCATTATTAAAGCCTGAGTGTAATCTAAAGATTTTACTGCGCGCAGAGCGTTATGCGTGGCTGTTTCGGCCACTGTGTGCGCAGGACGCGATATTTAGTTCAGTTCACCCAGATGGGCAAAGTTTTAGGTGGTGTTAACTCTGCCGGATCGGTACATTCATTCATGACGGCCGACCAATAGGCATTTCAGCTCGATCTGCCGCTCACCGCAGCAGTGACGTGGAATAACGTGGAAGGAAAATTTTCCTACTGAAAATGGCTGAACGGAACTTACAATGTTGTGAATGCAGGCACAATTCCATCTGGCATATCGTTGCTAACCACCGATTTGAATGACCACTAAAATCCCAACAGGGCGGGCGACACCCACTTACTTTGCTCAACAGATTCATCATCATCATCATAGACAGCAATACATCAGTGGTTCACACTGATGCTTAACTGCCACACAACCACGAAGAAGAAAAAGCAAACTCTGCACAAGAAGTGAAGAGAAAAAAGGAAGGAGAGGGGATCTGACCACTAAAAAATAGCTACGTCTACATTCAAACATACAACATCAAGGCGCCTACACCTTGCAAACAAACAAACAAGCTGTAAGTGAAAGTAAG